TCTATCTATCTATCTATCTATCTATCTATCTATCTATCTATCTATCTTATCTATCTCCATCCATCTATACACCCATGTCTGTCTTTCTGTCTGTCTCTTTCTCACTCTATCTCTCTACATCACTCTACATCCATATCTATCATCTATCTATCTATCTATCTATCTATCTATCTATCTATCTATCTATCTATCATCTATCTATCTATCTATCTATCTATCTATCTATCTATCTATCTATCTATCTATCATCTATCTATCTCTATCTACCTATCATCTATCATCTGTCTATCATCTACTATCTCTCTCTCTTTCTCTCTATCTATCTCTATCTATCATCTATCATCTGTCTATCATCTACTCTCTCTCTCTCTTTCTATCTTTCTGTCTATTTATCTCTATCTACCTATCATCTATCATCTGTCTATCATCTACTATTTCTCTCTCTTTCTATCTTTCTGTCTATCTATCTCTATCTACCTATCATCTATCATCTATCATCTACTATCTTTCTATATCTTTCTATCTATCTCTATCTATCTACCTATCATCTATCATCTATCTATCATCTATTATCTGTCTGTCTGTCTGAGTTCTTTTGGCCACACATTATGGACACCCTGGAAATCAGAGTGTTTTCTTCACTTGTGATTTAGTTATTTATTGTACTAGTTCCCCCAAGATCTAAAGGTAGCACGTGTAGCTCTCTCTTCGACTTTTATCTGCCCAGCAATCTTGCAAGTGAGAAAACACACAGAGGCAGCAACTGCCTTAGTCATCTAATGAACTTCACAGTTGAGTGTTGAACTTCAGGTTTTGGGTCTCTCGGGCCTAACCTGAACTGCATGCATCACACAGATTTAACGAATAACCACCATGGATCTTCACCTTTGAACATGCCTGATATTTTTTTCCTTCTGGAGTTTTGAAATTAAAAATCCAGAAAAGAAACACTCCGGATAGGAAACGTTGTCCTTGCAAAACAGACAGGATAGCAAAGTTTGGGGATATGTGTGTGTCTGTACATCTATATTGACCAAGAGGATTTCAAGACTGAAATTAAAAGATTGCAAAGAAAGGGGATAGGACGATTGCAACGCACCCGTTTGTTTTCTTTGAATATTTTTGAGTGAGAAAGAGTCCGTAATGTTCATGTTTTTTTTGTTTTTTTGTTTTAGCAAAGAGAAATGTCTACATTTCTCATTAATTTATTCCTGTGTGTCAGCAAGAACCTGTATGGGAAGCTCTGCAGACAGAAGCTGAACCACACTGAAACCAAGAAGCAAAACTGCCTTTCTGCATTTTTCAGGCCATGCTTCAAAGCTGCCCTCAGAGAAGCTGGCTAGCCCACGGCTGACAAATAGCGAACGGTGTCTACAAACCATTCAAACTTGAAGCCTAGGCCCATCCATCTTCACCTGGTTTGAGGCAAAAGAAGCCGGATCCAAGTCCTGTGGGTTTTCTCGTGAGTTTGCTTAGAGAATATTGCAGAGTTCAGATTGTTTATTGCCCGTTTCTGATGTGGTTTGAAGCAGGTGACCAGGAAAGGCCGGCCTCCGATCAGATGCATGGCACCAAGATAAAGGAGCTTAGCCTGTAGCCCCTGGCCTTTAAATGTGATATTTAATCCCTAAGCAGTGATGATGATGATAGAAGTGGTTTGGATGTACTCGTTGACTGTCCCTCCCCTGTGCTTTTTATAGCATCTAAACCCTCAGGACAAACAGCTTTTCTCCAACCAGATGCCCCCCAGATAGGGTGGACTTCAACCACCCACCGTTTCAGTCCAGTTGAATCCATCTGCCAAGCAACAGATCCGAGTTTCAGACTTACAGTCATAAAAGGTCTTCTTGATTACATTGGTATCAAATTTCCCCTCCTCCCCCCCCCCCAGGTTTAAGGTGATATACCAGATTCTCTTTCCTCTGTATTTGCTTCTCCCAAATTCTCCCTTGTCAGATAGGTGGGGGCGAGGAAATGGGGGCAGTCAAAATTACTTGGTGGGGGTTCGTGGTTGAATAACCCTTTGAATCGGAGTCGAGTTGAAACAGGACTCTGTCGTAGGGAGAATATTATATTGAACATTAAAAGGAGCCTCTTTGGCACAGTGGTTAGAGTGCAGTACTGCAAGCTACTTCTGCAGCCAGCTGCCTACAATTTGGCAGTTCGAATCTCACCAGGCTCAAGGTTGACTCAGCCTTCCATCCTTCTGAGGTGGGTAAAATGAGGACCCAAATTGTTGGGGGCAATAGGCTGACTCTGTAAACTGCTTAGAGAGGGCTGTAAAGCACTATAAAGCGGAATATAAGTCTGAGTGCTATTGCTATTATCAAGGACCTTTG